TGATTTAGGTTGCATTTGGATGATCATGGCATAAAATAGAAGAAAAGAGCGGAAAAGGAGTTAAATGAAAGAAATTGAAAGTTCAGGGACCAAGTTGCAAATGATTCTTAGATGAGACGAGCAATGGAATGAAGATTAAAGATGTTACAAGTTCAATTGGATGCAATTAGAAGTTGAAGGGTTGAAATTGCAAGAAAAACAATTTAAAAGAATCAAAAATGGAATTCGGAACTAAAATACAACTTTTGGAAGAAATTTTGCCTGGGCGACCGCTCAACACCAAAAATCAATTACCGAAGTCAAAAGTCGTGCCTGGATGACTACCAAAGTTTTGCCTAGGTGACGGCCTAGGTCAATCGCGGCGAGAAAAATTTGGTTTCTTTTTCTGATTGAAATTCTTATGGAAACAAATCTTGTACATGATATATATACCCCAAATCTCCTCCAAAACCTAGTGAACGCCCCCAACCCTATTTTTCTCTCTTTGTCCTCAAGATTATTGATGTATTGCTAAATTTCATCTCTTGGTCGAAGGATATTGAAGCCTTGGAATCGTTTTCAATTGTGAGATCTACCTAATTTTCATCGTTTAATTTATATTTTCAGTATTGAATATTCTTCTATGCTTGATTTCATGGTTGTTATGTTTGATTACTAAAATGATCCATTGGTTTATCATGCGTTTCAATCTATAGCTAAGTTAAATATCAAATCCGTAATTGTTTGATTAGTTTAACTTGTGAAGCAACTAGGATTAGTAATTTGCTGCTTTGGGAAATTATTAAATCTTAGGAAGAATATTTATCTAGGTTAAATGCAAACGCTTGACTTGTGTTATCTAGTTCATTGATTTCTCTAATTCGGAAAGCTATTATTAAATTAAATTCTCGCGCTTATCTAGGATTGTTTTGTAATGAGGATTAATTAGATCGCTTATTTCTAATTAATTAAAAGTAAGGAGATATAGGAAATTGTTTCGAATAGGAAATTATTTTCCAACGATGAATACTAGAAGTATGAATTAATAATTATTTGTGGATCAATGACCAATTGTAAATCTCCAACGGTGGATGTTGACTTAGACTCAGGTTCGTTCTATTGATTTAATCCAATTTATTAATTTGCATTGCTTTTAGTTAGAATTGATTTCATCACAAGCAAACCCCCCCCCCTCCCGGTTATTGTTAACATTGCATAAAATTAGGCTAATCACTCTTTGTGGGAACGATCCTTACTTCTACCACTACATATAATTTTTTGGAACTTTAGGTTTTATTATTTTTCGGTGCCTGCAACAGCACGCCAGAAGACTCGGGCAGGGAGGTGTTCACAGCAATATCGGTACGAGGTGTTTCTTCAGTTGAAGAAGAAAAGTTAAAAGAAGCTCTTCCTACTAGAAATTTCTTATGAAGAATTATATTTGAACATTGTCTTTCAACTCATATACATGCTTATATAGATGTGTAAAGCGTTATTAATGAGGTGTAATTGCATTACAAAACTAAACACCTACTCCCACTCCATGTATTTACAATTGATTGACATTTATTTGACAATATAGGTTGTAGACATTGTGCTTGTCATGTGAATAGTGAAGTTGTATTTATTACCAGCATGGATTTATAACACACCTTTCGTTAAAATCGTATTCGAAAACTTCTACGTCTAAGGTTTGTTGTAAGTCTTTTTTAAATCGCATTGTCATCTTGCCATTCCGCCAAATAGTTCGAATTTGTTCTTGACATTTCATGATGTTTTCATCATTTGGAAAGTCGTTATCGACATCTGGACCCCCTTTATTTCAACTCTTGATAATTCATGTATATAGAACAAAATTTCATTCCATTTCCTAGAGTTCTATACATTTTATTATTTCTCGGCATTTAAAGTGTTGTTCTCAACATAGGGTGAAGTGGACATTTAATGTATGAATTGACATGGTGCTTTCTCAAATTAATAGTATAGGTTATGTGTCAAATTCTTATTGGCCAACAGAATTTTAAATTGTATGAAAATTTTTATCTTCAATGTGGAATTAGAAATGTTAACAAGGGTATTTTGGTCTAAATTATTGCAAAATTGGCATTGAAGAAATTTTGGATATTTTTGCAAATGACCATGTGAAAATGGCTATTTCTTGCAATTTCCTCTTAAAATAATTTAAAACATTCACCAGTTCCAACTCTTTTAAAGTGTTGAGCTTTCATTTTTTTCCATGTAGTCAGAGTGACTAACATCATCAAAACAATGGGAAAAGTCTCGAGGCTAATCTAAAATTGTCATTGAACCAATAAAAATAGAATTGGAATGAATTACATAGATTAATAACATTAAAATAAAATAAAAAATCGAAAAAAGATGAGTTGGCAATTGGGTATTCAATTGATTCAAATAGGCCGAATTATCTTTGCAAGCCAAGAAGGTACCCCTCAAGAAGGCTCGCAATGGTCTGAGAGGCGACGACCGAGACTCGAAATCATTTAAAAAAAATTGCACTTACAAATTAAGGGCAACGTAGTGGCAACAATCTTCATCGAAAGTTTGCTTGAAGCAGATAGCACTGCTTTTGAGGATCATGCAGATGACATCTAAATGGTTGTCTAGAAGGCATAATATAAAGCAACGGAATCCCATTGACACAAGCATTGACGTTGATGCTCAAATCGAGGAGCTAATGGAGGCGATCAACCTTGTCAACATGAGATAACTCGAAAATGTCGTTGGATGGACCTTCGTTATTTGGATTGAGGACTTAAAAGTTAATACCTTTAAGGTCGAGGTCGGGATCGATGTTGTCACGGTAGGACATGTATACTGTTTTTTTCTTTCTAATCTATCACTACATTGTTACGAAGTGTACAAAAGAAGAGTGTGGATATGATAATAACAATTTATTGTTTTTTTATGCCCCTATTTGGTATAATTAAAGTCTGAGTTTTAATTCAAGTCAAAATCAACCATTAATTTAAGTCGATTCATAACTTTTTAATCACACAATTCATCGATTTTTATTAAAATTTACTAAAAATCTAGTTTTAACATCTACCAAATAGGAGCATATAAGAGTTTACGATAATAGAATAACAATAATAAATAATAAGTGGTGGTGGGATGAAATTTGAAGAAGAGTAATGTTTTTAATTTTTTTTCTAAAATAATTATTTTAATTAGGATTCGTTTGTACTTTAAAAAAAATTAAAATTATAGATGCAAATAATCTTTATTCTTTATCTTCTTTTATTTTTTTAATTAAGAGATGAGGATAAATCCATCATTTTATCAAGAAAATAATGAAAGTATCATATTCGGCAACGTTTGGAATATTTAGAAGGGTTTTACGCAACATGAAAGATTAAGAGATATTCCACAAAACAAGCAAGCATCTTAATGTATGGGACTTTGCTAGGTTTATAGAATTTTTCCTCACAGAACACTTATAGAAAAGACACAATATGAGGGTGGGTGGGTTTTTTTGGGCAATAAAATAATCACATGGAACCCACCTCCATGTGAGACTTCTGTAGCCTTTCTGTGATTTGTTCTTCTGTACACTCAGTTTAACCTTAATGTATGTGCCAATATGCATTAAACAATCCCTTCAGTTACAAAATAGTCCAAAAAAGTTCATGAATTTACATAAAATACAACAATCTCATCTAACTTTTGAATGCTAGAGGTCACCCAACTTTTGTCTAAGTTATAATTAGATCATCAAGCTTCAATTTGAATTAATCAATGTACGATTCCACCCTCACGGCTATTATTAGCCCCTGTATGATAGGGATTAAAATTAAATTATTAGTAGACTTTAATAAAAAAAAATTGAAATTGTGTGATTGAAAAGTTATGGGGTCCATAAAATATATTGTTAAAATTAATCGTTTGATTTTGACTTAAATTAAAATTTTATTTAAATCAGTACCAAATAGAGCCTTACACTTTCTTATATATGAATCGGGTAACAGTTTTGTAACTCATTTGCTTTAAATTAAAGCTCAGTGATCGAATCGTTACTAAGACGAAAGTTCAGTGACCTCTAGTATAATTAACCAAGAAAAATGAACAAATTTTAATAAGTGGGACCCATTGCATTGGCACACGAAACTAAGCAACAACAATCAACTACCAAAACAACAAATCTCAACCGTTCATCCATTCTCGACGATTCCGTCACCTTATTTTCTTGGATTCTCCTCTCTCTATTTTTTTATTCTATCTTGGGAACTGTGAAAATTAGCTTCTACAAGTACGAGGAGGAAATATTAACCGGTTAGGAGAAAAATAAGGCAAGAAATACATATATTTTCTCTTAGAATATATAACGAAGAGCAAGAATTTTTCAATTAATCCAATTTAACAGGTGGATTTATGGAAGAAGTAAAGAAGAAAGTAGAAGAAGAAGGGAGCTTAAATGGGTTCTCTCCAGTTTCATCTACTCCAGTTTTTTGGAAATCCAGGAGAAGATCAGGTTTGTTTATATATATTCCAATTAACAGCAAGTGGGTTGAATATTTTTTTCTTATATTCTAACAATTTTTGCTCAATTTGATGTTACTGATGGAATGATTTTATTAAGTGGATTTTATGTGAAATTCAATTATAGCTTTTTTATGGGGAAATTCAATTGAAACTTACAAGTAATAATCTTAAATTTTTTTTTTTTTTTTAATTACATGCATACTGCAGTTTTTAGAGAAGAAATCTTCTCGAAATCTTGTATGGGTTTGCTCGAAGGTTAATTCATTAGCTAACTATGGTTAGAACTGATTACCAGCTATTTGAATCTTGAGTAATCTTGACCTTTTGTTAAGAAAATAATGATTCGTTCAATAATTATGCAGATTAACTTTTCGAGTAAAATGTTGTTTTCCGTCTTCAAAATCAAGATCTCCCTTTTGAAATGTCGTTATTTATTGATTAATTAATTGAAATTTGTTGGCGGTAGTTGGAGACTTATAAGCAAGTCACACTTTTAAGTGAATTTTGTTTATTAACATGTTTCGCACTTATTTTCAAAGTAAGATAGAGATTACTTTCGAAATAATTAACTTATTTGCAATTTTGACAAACCAGGAAATGTACTTATTTACTTATAATTATTTAAACTTGGCCAAACATCCAACAAATGTAAATGGATTAGTATACCATTTTTCTTCCTAATGAATGTGATTTATTGATTTGCTGAAATAGTTGTTATGGTGGAGCCATCTTCTTTAATTTTTTCAATATATACCTACTGCTCTGCAAATTGATGACTGCTTGATTGAAATTTGTTTCTATCTTTTTCCTAATGTACCTACATTGGGTGTAAATTTTTATTTAACTCGCTGACAATTTAGCGGGTCACAAAGGGGCCGAGGAAATAATGTCGTAACCAAAGTTTTCGTAGTAGATATTCAATTTAAGTCATTTCAATTTCATAACATGGTCCCACAATTATTTTGTAGATTACTCATTTGGACCAATGTCCTTGATTGTTTCTCACAACTCTTTTGTGTGCAACTTAAGGTACTCTAGCGGATATTTCGATTAGTTTACTTTTTTCACATGAAAAGTAACATGTCGTGATTATGACGACAATCATAACAATGATAATACTTTCCCGTCTTTATAATGAATATGTATGAATATGTAGATTCAGAATCTATTGGTTGTTGATATAGATCATTTCTTGCCGGAATGAGGTTTTCACTTTTTATATTCAACATTCAGGCAGTCCAATTAGCTAGGCCCCAAATTTATTTATTTTTTTTTTACCTGTTTAGTTTAATTATTTTTATATGTAAAACATTTCCATAACTCTTCATTTAAATATAAGTATGTTGTTTATTTAAATTTTTTATGTTGGTACAGTTGTAAAAAAATAAATATAAGGGCCTCGTAATAACTAATCGCTAGGGTCTCAAAATTTTTAGTGCCGGCCCTGCAAAATTGTAGTTAAGTTGGTAGGGTTAAGTTTATTGAAATCTAGTAAACAATTTTGGTAGTGTGTGCTTGCGTTTTCTCAGTCTATGGAGTGGTAGTTGGTTATGTAGTTATGGCTTTTCTTACTTCCTATGTTTTATCGGAAAGCTTCTCCCGCATTTTGGGAGCTCGTTGAACACATCGACTTTGGTCAGGCCGGATGCTTTTGTGGAGACTTCTTCTGAGGTTAGGTTCGCTCAGACTCCTCCGAGTATCCCTAATGTGTCAGACTATTCTACTTCTAGTATCTTAGACAGCTGTAGCCTTAATGTACTTCTCCACATCATTATGCGGGTTACGTGTCACACGCATCTGATTGGACGTATTTACTACATGTAGCACAGTGGAAATGGATGTGCTAGTTATGTCTCATACCATCTTTATAAGTTTAAACGTATTTTAGTCATATATCATATAAGTTTTAACATAAGATTGAGTGCCTCCAAAGCAAAGTGTACTTTAGCATCTATGTGACAAGTGACAAAATTGTCTTTCAAGAAAGCTTCGTTTAATGATTGTTCGGAAAGGAAAATAATCAAAAACTTATATTTACCTACTATCAGACAATGATTTAACTTACAATAAAGTTCATGTACCAGTGAGCTTTCGGGTATGGTTTATTCTTTTCTTTTTTTTCCTGCATGGTTCATACTTGGTGGTCAATTCTTCCAGCATCGAGTGCGAAGAATTTAGACGGTGCAGAAAATGATTCCGGTGCTGATAAAGCAATGGAAAAACAAGAAGATTCTATCATGGAAGAAAAGCCACAAGAATCGAACAGCGTTTCTGTTCTTTCTGAGAAACGGAAGGCTTTATTTGAACCACTGGAACCAGCAAGCGGACGACGGCCTTCAGCTGAATCCTTACTTCCACCTCCAGACTTTGAATCCGCAAGCTATCCAAAAGGGTGGCTGATTGGGAAGAAGCGAAAGCTCGTGAATGTGGACGTTGTCGAGAGTATGCGAAGGATTGCAGTACAGGAAATAAATCGAAAGGTGCCTATGCCATCTGGCTCCTATTATCTGATATGATTGAATCGAAAGATATTAATTAATTATAGATAATCTATGCAGGATAGGGAAGTCGATGGCCTGAACGAACAATTAGAAGAGGATGCTCGAGTCTTAGAGCATCTTCAACTACAGCTACTGGAAGAACGAAGCAAGCGCACTGATGTAGAGAGAACAAATGCTATGCTGCAAGACCAAATTACGATGCTCATGAACATGTTACAAGAGAATGAACCAGAAGAGGACGATGGACCAGACGAGCCCTGAATTTTTATTTTATTTTCCTTTTTTATGTCTTATTCTTTCGTGTATTTATAGGCCAAAAGTCAAAAAATATGCTTGGTATAAATGTATCGTCTTCTCTACCTGGTTTTGCTGTTGTAGTTTTAGTTTGAATACTGTATAAGGTGAGTTAGAGAGTAATTCAAAACTGAATGTATATGAAGATGTTAAAATCATGCAGGGTTTGTTGATGTCAAATAATGAAATAAATTGTGTTTCAAGAATTACTGATTATTATTATATTTTCTTCCTCTTGGATATGATATGTCTTTTAATAAAGTTTTGGACACATTTAGATACTTAATTTAGACATTAAACCTTATAGTGATGTTACTCCCACTCGAAATCTTAGTACATTTCTTCGTTTCTTCAGTGGGCATTGACATATTAAGCGGAGTGCTGAAACATTATTTCCGTAGTCCACTCCAAACTTATTAGGAATACTTTTTGACAGTGTTCTAAAAAGCTCACTTAGCTTTATTATTGCACGAAGTTTGATCTTATTGTCTAATCACGCTTTACGTTTTTTTAATGTATAGGCTTTGCATTAACCCATCTAGACTTGTAAAAGCTTGTAAGTTGCCCATGCTTCCTCCTCACCATTGAAATTGTGCAATCGGATCACTTTCCTTCTTGCTACATCTATCATTTCAAGTTTGTAACACATTGAATTTAAAAGGTTAACAATTACAATTGTAGATACAAGAGAGATTGCAATGTGTGATGCTTTAAGCTTAGTTGATAGTAAAAAATGTTTTTCGACAAACCCTCTTTTATTTTTATTGACATTGTAACTTTTTGTTCATTTTATATTCATTGTAGCAAAATAGTATTGTGCTTGATTTGATTCACTCGATAGAATCCTATCAAAATAGGGTTAGAAATAGAATTTCTTTTGATTATTTGGATTATGGTACCACCCCAATGCTTCAATTGTAGATGACATTGTAACGTTAGTGAAAGAGGTTTGTTGTAGGTTCATGTACTTTATTCTCAAAATCAAAAAATCCCTAAGTGCTATAAAATGTATAACAGTTGGCACGTGATTGACGTACGCTTTGCTTTCTTCTTGTCCAACCGATTAAAAGTTGATTCCAACTCGAATTGATTAAGAGCATCTTTGATAGAGATTTTAATTCAATTAATCTCAATTTTTTTACCGTTATTTCACTATTTCAACCGTCATTTTTTAATTCTTCTCTCATAGGTAGGACCCACTTTATCTCCAACGGTAAAAAAATCAATTAACAAAATCCCTACCAAATAAGCACTAAGTAATGTGGAAAGGGGGCATGCATTGATTAAGAACTTATCAATATCAGAAAGCATCCTCTTTTATTTACTATGAAAGCCGGCAACAAAGCAATGATAGTTGTAGACTACTTGCCATATTTCTTCTCTTAAAGCTTGACTAGCAAAAACTCTTTCATTTCTACAATATTCAACCGAGAGCTCTTGTATTATGGCTCATACCAGATTTTTTATTCTTGATCTGCATTAGCAAGGCTTTAGGCCATCTCCAGCGCTGCACCAAACTAAAATTTGTCTATAACCATTATATCAAAAGTTTCACCAAGTGAACAGTGTTTAGCCATTTTCTTCCCTTTCATTATTTTTATAATTTATTTATTTGAAATATTATTTATTTAATTATTATATAAATGCATAAATTACTAAATAAATAATTACAGAAAAGATTAAATTCATTAATAAATATAAAAAATATAGTACAATTAATAAAAATACTACAACAACGAAAATCGTAAATCATGTCATCAGAAAATAGTACAATGCATTTTGAATTTGGATATTACGATATTACAAAGTCACAAAATTTTGCAATTTAATTCTTGGAATTCATATGTTTTTTTCCACAAATGATTGATTAATGTATTTCAAATTTTATATATCGTTTTGTTTAAATAAAATTAGATTATCATATGTATGTCGTTGTTTAATATATTTTGTGTTAACTTGAATAAATAATCGTGTTTGTTGTATTTTAATTTTTTTTCTTCTTTTAATTAATTAATTAATTATTATTTCTTACATTTAAAATTTATTTTGAATGCAAATAATAATAATAATAATAATAATAATAATTTATGGTATCAAAAAATATATAGCACAAATGACACAACTACCATTCATCAATTATTTGGAAAAGAAGAAGAAAATGGTAAAATGGACTTTCACCACTTTACACCATTTTGCACCAAAATGGTGCAAAGTATAGTGTTGCATTGGAGCAACTTTGCACCAAAAAATGGTGCAATTTTGTGATTTGGAGTTCTCATTGAAAATGCCCTTAATCAAGAAGATAGGAAGGAGACATTGCTGCTTGATAGCGATCTATTATACTAGACAGACCTGTCACACCGGTAGCCAAGATCGCTCAGACGGGTCTTCTCTTGCCGGGAGTGAAATCAATGCAAAACAAGGGGCAGTCAAGTTTGACTTTGAGACGAGAAACGCTTTGCTTTCTTTGCTACTACTTTCCAGGCCTCCATGGGCAAGAGTAATTGTATTTCACTTCTAATGTTATCTAGTGCTAAGGTCGCCGTTGCTTAATAATATTTCAAATTGTTTGAGCTCAACTGTCCCCGCCAATATTCTCTTTTCCCCTTTGATTCACAATTTATTAATATTGTCATATCGATTTGTTTGATTTTC